CACACAGGACTCCCATGACCAACAGAAAACACTAGAAGGGTGGTGGGTATTGACCTTGAGTTTGGGAGTTGTAGTTCACCTACACCCAGAGAGCACTTTGGATTCAAACAATGATGGATCTGAACCAAACTTGGCACAAATATTTCATATGCCCAAATATGAACACAGATGGAGTTTGGGGAAAATAGACCTTGACATTTGGGAGTTGTAGTTCTGGGATCTGTAGTTCACCTGCAATCCAAGAGCATTCTCAACCCCAACGATAAGATTGGGCCAAACTTCCCACACAGAACTCCAATGACCAACAGAAAATACTAGAAGGGTTTGGTGGGCATTGACCTTGAGTTTGGGAGTTGTAGTTCACCTACATCCAGAGAGCACTGTGGACTCAAACAATGATGGATCTGGACCAAACTTGGCACGAATATTCCATATGCCCAAATATGAACACAGATGGAGTTTGGAGAAAATAGACCTTACATTTGGGAATTGTAGTTACTGGGATTTATAGTTCACCTACAATCAAAGAGCATTCTGAACCCCACCAATGACAGAATTGGGGCAAACTTCTCACACAGAACCCCTATGACCAACAGAAAATACTCAAGGCCATCCAGTCCAATTCCCTTCACCAGGGCAAGAAAACTTGGCACACAGAATCCTCATGATTAATTCCACCTACTGGAGGGGCTTGAGGGGACTGACTCACCATAGTGGGAGCTGTAGTTTACCTACAATCAGAGAAATTGTGATCTCCACCGATGATGGACCTGGACCCAACTTGGCACACAGAATCCCGATTATTAATTCCACCTACTGGAGGGGTTTGAGGGGACTGACTCACCATAGTGGGAGCTGTAGTTTACCCACAATCAGAGGAACTGTGATCTCCACCGATGATGGACCGGGACCCAACTTGGCACACAGAATCCCCATGATTAATTCCACCTACTGGAGGGGTTTGAGGGAACTGATTCACCATAGTGGGAGTTGTAGTTTACCCACAATAAGAGAAACTGTGATCTCCACCAATGATGGACCTGGACCCAACTTGGCACAGAGTCCCCATGATTAATTCCACCTACTGGAGGGGTTTGAGGGGACTGACTCACCATAGTGGGAGCTGTAGTTTACCCACAATCAGAGAAACTGTGATCTCCAGCGATGATGGACCTGGACCCAACTTGGCACACAGAATCCCCCTGATTGATTACACTTACTGGAGGGGTTTGAGGGGACTGACTCACTATAGTGGGAGTTGTAGTTTACCCACAATCAGAGAAACTGTGATCTCCAGCGATGATGGACCTTGACCCAATTTGGCACACATAATCCCCATGATTAATTCCACCTACTGGAGGGGTTTGAGAGGACTGACTCACCATTGTGGGAGTTGTAGTTTACCCTGCAGCCAGAGAGCACACTGAACCCCACTGATGATGCATCCAGAGTAAACTTACCCAACATAACAAACTTTAAGTACTGATGAAGTTTTTCGGGCATGATGCAAGTTGTAGTTCACCCACAACCTTATGCATTTTGTACAATTTAAAAACTGACTTTTTTGAAATAACCCAGCCAACGCCCAAGCTAATTCTATAATTCTAAGCATATACAAAGCCCCAAATGCTCAGTCGGCCTCCTCCGTGCACCTCGGCGGCTCAAGACACAGGCTCCTGGGCTGCATTGAGATTAAAGCAACATTTCCTAAATACTTCCCATTGCAGTGGAGGCCTCACTAATCCCTCCATGCGCGTCACTCAAAGCAGCTTCCAGAAATTCCTCCTTTCTCCTCTCCCATGTTCTGCAGAAAATGGTGTGTGGGCAACACCATGAAGACCAAAGGAAGCCAACCCATGACAAGCACATCTTGTAGCATCTCTGCATGATCTGCCATGCTATTTTTATTTATCGTGTCAGGAGCAACCAGACAGTTGTATTACATTTTAACTAAACAAACAAACAAAACACAAAGATTGCAAGCTTGGCAGTTGATTAAATGTCCTCTGACCAGTATCTGGCCACTTGGAGTGCCTCTGGTGTTGCCGCAAGAAGGTCCTCCATTGTGCATGTGCAGGGCTCAGGTTGCATTGCAGCAGGTGGTCTGTAGTTTGCTCTTCTCCACACTCGCATGTCATGGATTCCACTTTGTAGCCCCATTTGTTAAGGTTGGCTCTGCATCTCGTGGTGCCAGAGCGCAGTCTGTTCAGGCCCTTCAAGTCGCACAGTCTTCTGTGTGCCCAGGGGGGAGTCTCTCATTTGGTATCAGCCATGTTGAGGTTCTGGGTTTGAGCCAGCCACTTTTGGACTCTCGCTTGCTGGGTGTTCCAGCGAGTGTCTCTGTAGATCTTAGAAAACTATGTCTTGATTTAAGTCGTTGATACCCAAACAGAGGATGAGCTGGAGATGTCACTGCCTTGGTTCTTTCACTATTGGCTGCTACTTCCCGGCGGATGTCAGGTGGTGCAATACCGGCTAAACAGTGTAATTTCTCCAGTGGTGTAGGGCGCAGACACCCCGTGATAATGCGGCATGTCTCATTAAGAGCCACATCTACTGTTTTAGCATGGTGAGATGTGTTCCACACTGGGCATGCATACTCAGCAGCAGAGTAGCATAGTGCAAGGGCAGATGTCTTCACTGTTTCTGGTTGTGTATAGTTCACCTACTATCACAGAGCATTCTGAACCCCATCAACAATAGAATTGGGCCAAACCTCCCACACAACCCCCATGTGGGCCACAGCAATGCGTGGCAGGGGACGCCTAGTATTACAATATAATGGTATAGTATAATATAGTAATATTTAATACTGATATTGTACTATGCTAATAATACGAGGGGTATTTTTTAAGTAAGGTCCGTTTTGTTGTATACACTAGTAGTTCGCACGCATATCACCACGAGCGCATGCGTCGTGTACCAGCATGCCTCGGGAACATCTGTGCTCAGTTTCCGCTCTGTAGCTCACCTGTACGGTTCTGTTCTGTGCTTTAAAAATGTTTAAGACTATCAACTCACCCTCCGCATGTGAGGTTCGCTCAGTGATACGGTTTTTGTCAGCAAGGAACCTGCCTGCTGCAGAAATTCATCGACAGATTTGTGAAGTGTACGGTGATACTGTTATGAGTGAAAGCAAAGTGCGTAAGTGGGTACGACAATTCAAAGATGGCCGTGACAACGTCCATGATGAGGACCGCTCCGGTCGCCCTTCTTTGATTACAGTGAACTCTTGTTATCGGAGCAGGCGGCAAGTTTTTATGAAGAGGGTATTTTAAAATTGGTTCAGAGGTATGATAAGTGTTTGAACAAACTTGGCAACTATGTCGAAAAATAGAGTGAAGTATGTACTTTCTGAAAATAAATTTACTTTTTGAAATAAACTTTCGTTGTGTACTTATGTTCAAACGGACCTTACTTAAAAAATACCCCTCATATAATATATTGTATGTATATATATCTTGTAAGCCGCTCTGAGTCCCCTTCAGGGTGAGAAGGGCGGCATAGAAATGCCGTAAATAAATAAATAATAAATATTTTGTTCATGCCTCATGATTCCAAGTTTTGAAGACTGTTCCTGACTCATGTTTTGGATTTATTCTTCTTTTGCATTCCTGGTTTTTGATGCTACTCCAGGACTTTGATTTTTGTGGATTATTCTTGATATTTGGACTTTGGTTTATTATACTACTAGCTTGGGGACCCAGCACTCCCCAGGTTATTAGAGAAAGTGGGTAATGGCGGTTCTGTATGCCAAGTTTGGTCTTTATTGGTCATTGGATGACGGTTGCATTGTTTTCAGGAAGTGAGTGAAGGTACTTGAAGTCCCATCATCCATGGTCCACCCTCCTCCAAACAGCAGCAGGATATAGAGTGGGTCATGGGGGCTCTGTGTGCCAAGTTTGGTCTTTATCAGTCATTGGATGAGAGTGGAAGTAGTTTCAGTAAGTGAGTGAGTAAGCAAGTCCCATCATCCAAACTCCATCCTCCTTCAAACTGCAGCAGGATGCAGAGTGGGTCATGGGGGCTCTGTGTCCTAAGTTTGGTCTTAATCAGTCATAGGAGTAGAGTTGCAGTGGTTTCGGTAAGTGAGTAACGGTAGAAGTCCCATCATCCATGGTCCACCCTCCTCCAAACAGCAGCAGGATATAGAGTGGGTCATGGGGGCTCTGTGTGCTAAGTTTGGTCTTGATCAGTCATTGGATTGGGATCGCAGTGGTTTCAGTAAGTGAGTGAAGGTACTGCAAGTCCCATCATCCATGATCCACCCTCCTCCAAACTGAAACAGGATGTAGAGTGTGCTAAGTTTGGTCTTGATCAGTCATTGGATTGGGGTCGCAGTGGTTTCAGTAAGTGAATAAAGGTACCGCAAGTCCCATGATCCACCCTCCTCCAAACTGAAACAGGATGTAGATAGGGTCATGGCGGCTCTTTGTGCCAAGTTTGGTCTTGATCAGTCATTGGTTCAGGGTCGCAGTGGTTTCAGTAAGTGAGTAAAGGTACTGCAAGTCCCATCCATCATCCATGTTCATCCCTCCTCCAAACTGCAGCAGGATGTAGAGTGGGTCATGGGGGTTCTGTTTGCCAATTTGGTCTTGATTGGTCATTGGATGAGGGTCGCAGTGATTTCAGTAAGTGAGTGAAGATACTGCAAGTCCCATCATCCATGGTCCATCCCCCTTAGAACTGCATCAGGATTTATTTATTTTATTTATTTACTTTATTTATATACCGCTTTTCTCAGCCCTCAGGCGACTCAAAGCGGTGATTTAGAGTGGGCCATGTGTACACTCTCTTTTATTATATATATAGATTTTGCTGAATTACTTTTTATATATATTCCTCAATAAGCTGCTTTGCTATTTTACCTTGGACTGGAGTACAGAGGTGGTCCCCAGCCTTGGAGTGCAACAGTGGGGGAGGATGTTACGACAAAAGAAGGGAAGAAATCAAATGCCACCAGAAGTGGGTCAAAGCAAATGATGACAGAAGCCCTAACATCACTGTGCGAAGACGGTTCTATTTGCACAAAAGAGAAGTGGAGACAGTATCTCAGCCCTTTTGAGCCGTAGGGTTTGGAGGAGGTGGGACCTGCACCGAGTCCAAAGCTCCAGGTTCTTCATGCAGCTGTTCAGGGCCGGTGCGGTACCGCTGGGAGAATTCAGCATGCTTCTGGCGCAAGAGTTCCTGCTGCTTCTGAAGGCCCATGGACCTGTGGAAGGAGCACAAAGCCCTTCAAGTAAGAACAAGGCCTCCTGGCATATACACATTCTGGGATTCCAGATTCCATAAAACAATAATCTCCCACAAAATGCAATGCTAACTTTAATAACCTGGATTATATGATGGTGTAGAAGGGGCCTGAGTCTACACTGCCATATACTCTAGAGGCGATGCTTGGCTGCAGGCAGATGCGCACTGGGCTTGTATGTCACACACACACTCTCTCAAGGCAAGGAGGCAAGTTCTGACTTTCTTACTCTAGAGGCGGCACTTGGTTGCAGGCAGACGCGCACTGGGCTTGTTTAGCACACACATACTCTCTCAAGACAAGGAGGCAAGTTCTGACATTCTTACTCTAGAGGTGGTGCTCGGCTGCAGGGAGATGCGCAATGAGCTTGTATGCCATACACACACTCTCTCAAGACAAGGAGGCAAGTTCTGACTTGCTTACTCTAGAGGCGGCACTCGGCTGCAGGCAGACGCGCACTAGGCTTGTATGGCACACACGCACTCTCTCAAGACAAGGAGGCAAGTTCTGACATTCTTACTCTAGAGGCGATGCTCGGATGCAGGCAGGTGCGCACTGGGCTAGCATGCCAAACACTCTCTCTCAAGGCAAGTTTCTTACTCTAGAGGCGGCACTCGGCTGCAGGCAGGTGCGCACTGGGCTTGCATGCTACACATGCACTCTCTCAAGACAAGGAGGCAAGTTCTGTATGCCACACACGCACTCTCTCAAGACAAGGAGGCAAGTTCTGACTTTCTTACTCTAGAGGCGGTGTTCAGCTGCAGGCAGATGCGCACTGGGCTTGCATGCCACACACACACACTCTCAGGGCAAGGAGGCAAGTTCTGACTTTCTTAATATAGAGGCGGTACTCAGCTGCATGCAGGTGCGCACTGGGCTTGCATGGCACACACGCACTCTCTCAAGGCAAGGAGGCAAGTTCTGACTTGCTTACTCTAGAGGTGGTGCTTGGATACAGGCAGATGTGCACTGGGCTTGCATGCCACACACTCTCAAGACAAGGAGGCAAGTTCTGACTTTAAGACTTTCTTAATCTAGAGGCAGTACTCGGCTGCATGCAGGTGCGCACTGGGCTTGTATGCCACACACACACTCTTTGAAGACAAGGAAACAAGTTCTGACTTTCTCACTCTAGAGGCGGCGCTTGGCTGCAGGGAGGCGCGCACTGGGCTTGCATGCCACACACACACTCTCTCAGGGCAAGGAGGCAAGTTCTGACTTTCTTACTCTAGAGGCGGCGTTTGGCTGCATGCAGGCGCGCACTGGACTTGCATCCCACACACACACTCTCTCAAGACAAGGAGGCAAGTTCTGACTTTCTTACTCTAGAGGCGGCACTTGGCTGCAGGCAGGCGCGCACTGGGCTTGCATGCCACACAAACACTGTCAAGGCAAGGAGGCAAGTTCTGACTTTCTTACTCTAGAGGTGGCATTTGGCTGCATGTAGGTGCGCACTGGACTTGCATGCCACACACGTACTCTCTCAAGACAAGGAGGCAAGTTCTGACATTCTTACTCTAGAGGTGGTGCTCGGCTGCAGGGAGATGCGCAATGAGCTTGTATGCCATACACACACTCTCTCAAGACAAGGAGGCAAGTTCTGACTTGCTTACTCTAGAGGCGGCACTCGGCTGCAGGCAGACGCGCACTAGGCTTGTATGGCACACACGCACTCTCTCAAGACAAGGAGGCAAGTTCTGACATTCTTACTCTAGAGGTGGCGTTTGGCTGCATGCAGGCATGCACTGTGCTTGCATGCCACACACACTCTCTCCCAAGGTAAGGAAGCAAGTTCTGACTTTGTTACTCTGACTTTCTTACTGCACCGGGACTGTGGCGCAGCTGGCTGGGAGTCAGCTGCATTAAGATCACAACTGACCAAAAGGTCATGAGTTCAAAGCCAGCCCGGGTTGGAGTGAGTTTCTGACCATTGTGTAGCTTGCTGTCGACCTTTGCAGCCCGAAAGACAGTTGCATCTGTCAAGTAGGAAATTTAGGTACCACTTATGCGGGGAGGCTAATTTATGATGCCATAAAAATCTCCAGCAAGCATGCAAAGAATGAGGAAGTACTTCATCAGTGTCACAAATGGACGGTGAAGCGACAGCTCCCCTGGTGGCCAGAATACCCTCATGAAAAGCTGGAATGTTAAATAGCCTCTGTGTGTCTGTCTATATATGTTGTGTGTCTATGGCATTGAATGTTTGCCATGTATATGTACATTGTAATCCATCTTGAGTCCCGTGAGGGGTGAGAAGGGCAGAATATAAATACCGTACATAAATAAGTAAATACTCTAGAGGTGGCGCTTGGCTGAAGGCAGGTACGCACTGAGCTTGCATGCCACACGCGCACTCTCTCAAAGCAAGGAAGCAAGTTCTGACTTTCTTACTCTAGAGGGAGCACGTGCTGGGATTGCATGCCACACACACACACTCTCAAGTCAAAGAGGCAATTTCTAACTTTTTTACTCTAGAGGCAGCACATAGAGTACAACGTGCTCACGAAAGCAGAGGGGGAGCCAATGATTGGTTCCCGCTTGCTTTCGTGTTGAGCTGATTTTTGTTGCCGGGGGGGGGGGGGACACCTTCCTGTTATGTGCTCCCGAAGGTAACGAAAATAACGAAAGAACGGATGAAACAAAGGGAAACGGGTTCTGTGCACAACTCTAGTAGGAAGAGTGTTTGGACTCTTCAGATGCTCACTTGGCTCGCTCTTTGTTCTCATTGTAGATCTGGGTAATGGCTCTATCCTTTTCGTCCATGAAGCTGTTGTGTACTTCCTCCAGCTTCCTACAAGAAAACAAAAATGAGCTTTTCAGAAGGAAAAAAAGGGAAATCGATGGTAAACATTATAGACCTCAGCACTGGAGATGAATGAGGGCTGGAAATGATAAAATCAGTATTGTGAACGAATATGGAACGGCTTAAGGATGCAAATGGACATGTATTTGTGTGCCAGTTGCGCTCGTACCTTGGGAAGTCTGACTGGCCACAGTGGTCCATGCTCTGGTTACATCCCGAATAGATTACTGCAACGCGCTCTACATGGGGTTGCCTTTGAAGACTGTTCGGAAACTTCAACTAGTCCAACGGGCAGCAGCCAGATTACTCACTGGAGCGTCATACAGGGAGCATACCACCCCCCTGTTATGTCAACTCCACTGGCTGCCAGTCCACCTCCGAGCACAATTCAAAGTGTTGGTCTTGGCCTATAAAACCCTATACGACTCCGGCCCAGCTTACCTATCCGAACGTATCTCTCTCTACGCTCCACCCCATAGCTTAAGATCTGCTGGGGAGGCCCTGTTCTCGGTTCCGCCGGCCTCGCAAACATATCTGATAGGGACGAGGGACAGGGCCTTCTCGGTGGTGACCCTCTGCTTGTGGAATTCACTCCCCAGCAAGATTAGATCGGCGTCCTCCCTCCTTTCCTTCAGAAAAAAAACCCTAAAATCATGGTTTTGGAACCAGGCGTTTGGTTAGTGGGCTCAGCAGCACTTTGAACATGGACTGGAACTGACGACTTGCATGCCACACATGCACTCTCTCAAGGCAAGGAGGCAATAACAACAACAACAACAACAACAATAATGGAAAAGCTGACATGATATGAGGATTTAAAGATCGAAATGCGAAGAGTCGGGCACAAGCCAGTAAAGGTGGTGCCAGTGGTGATCGTCACACTGGGTCCAGTGCATAAAGACCTTGGCCTGCACTTAAACACAATTGGCGCTGACAAAATTACCATCTGCCAGCTGCAGAAGGCCACCTTACTGGGATCTGCAACAGCCAGCAGATACTGTGGCATCGAATTGCTGCCTGTGTTAGCCACTCTGAGTCCCCCCTCGGGGGTTGAGAAAGGCGGGGTAAAAATGCCGTAAATAAAAATATAAATAAATAAATATTTAAACCCTGAAGTCATTGATTTTAATAGTTTTATATTGTTTTTATATGAATTTTATTATGTGATGTATTTATGTGTGTCCGGCATCTAATAGTTGCCAGTCTGTATGCCGCCCTGAGTCGCCTTCGGGCTGAAAAGGGTGGAATAAAAGTGTGGTAAATAAGTAAATAGCTAAATAAATAGCTTTAATATTACCTACTGATATGGGAAGGTTTTATTTTGTTCCAGCAGTCTGTTCCAGCAGTCACCAGCTAATCCATTTCCAATGCCAGAGATACAGCTTAATGGCGTAACATTAGAAAATGTGGACCATTTCTGCTCCCTTGGCAGCCACCTCTCCACAAAAGTCAACATTGACACTGAAATACAACACCGCCTGAGCTCTGCAAGCGCAGCATTTTTCCAAATGAAGCAGAGAGTGTTTGAGGACCGGGACATCCGTAGGGAGACCAAGGTACTTGTTTATAAAGCTATTGTCCTCCCAACCCTGCTATATGCCTGTGAAACGTGAACTATCTACAGATGACAACATTTAACACCGAAATACAACACCGCCTGAGCTTTGCAAGTGCAGCATTTTTCCGAATGAAGCAGAGAGTGTTTGAGGACCGGGACATCCGTAGGGAGAGCAAGGTGCTGGTTTATAAAGCTATTGTCCTTCCAAACCTGCTATATGTCTGCGAAACGTGGACTGTCTACATACATCACATGCAACTCCTGGAACGATTCCATCAGCACTGCCTCGGGAAAATCCTGCAAATCTCTTGGGAAGACAGGCAGACAAACGTCAGCGTGCTGGAAGAAGCAAAGACCACCAGCATTGAAGCAATGGTCCTCCATCAACTCCGCTGGACCAGCTACGTTGTCTGGATGCCCAACCACCGTCTCCCAAAGCAGTTGCTCTACTCCGAACTCAAGAACGGAAAACTGAATGTTGGTGAGCAGGAAAAGAGATTCAAAGATGGGCTCAAAGCCAACATTAAAAACTCTGGCATAGACACTGAGAACTGGGAAGCCCTGGCCCTTGAGCACTCCAGATGGAGGTCAGCTATAACCAGCAGTGCTGCAGAATTTGAAGAGGCACGAATGGAGTGTGAAAGAGAGAAACGTGCCAAGAGGAAGGCGCATCAAGCCAACCTCGACTAAGACCGCCTTCCATCTGGAAACCAATGCCCTCACTGCGGGAGAAGATGCAGATCAAGAATAGGGCTCCACAGCCACCTACGGATCCACCAGAATACTGATCCTGGAAGACTATCCTACTCGTCCAATGAGGGATCGCCTAAGTAAGTAAGTAAGTTTCTTTCCCTCCTTCAAGCTGTAATGTGTCCAGAGGAGGGCGACTAGAATGATCAAGGAGAACAAGTCCTATGAGGAGCGGCTTCAAGAGCTGGGCATGTTTAGCCTGAAGAAGAGAAGGCTGAGAGGAGACATGATAGCCCTGTATAAATATGAGAGAGTTGACAAGCTGGAATGTGTCCAGAGGAGGGCGACTAAAATGATCAAGGGTCTGGAGAACAAGCCCTATGAGGAGCAGCTTAAAAAGCTGCACATGTTTAGCCTTCAAAAGAGAAGGGTGAGAGGAGACATGATAGCCATGTATAAATATATGAGAGGAAGTCATAGGGAGGAGGGAGCAAGCTTGTTCTCTGCTTCCCTGGAGACTAGGACACGGACCAATGGCTTCAAACTACAACAAAGGAGATTCCATCTGAACATGAGGAAGAACTTCCTGACTGGGAGAGCCGTTCAGCAGTGGAACTCTCTGCCCCGGAGTGTGGGGGAGGCTCCTTCTTTGGAAGCTTTTAAACAGAGGCTGGATGGCTATCTGTCAGGGGTGATTTGAATGCAATATTCCTGCTCCTTGGCAGGGGGTTGGACTGGATGGCCCATGAGGTCTCTTCCAACTCTATGATTCTATGTGTGCAGGAAAAGAGATTGAAAAATGGGCTCAAAGCCAAGCTTAAAAACTCTGGCATAGACACTGAGAACTGGGAAGCTCTGGCCCTTGAGCACTCCAGCTGGAGGTCAGCTGTGACCAGCAGTGCTGCAGAATTTGAAGAGGAACGAATGGAGGGTGAAAGAGAGAAATGTGCCAAGAGGAAGGCGCATCAAGCCAACCCCGACGAGACCGCCTTCTGGAAACAAATGTCCTCACTGCGGGAATATGCCATCCAGTAGTCACCACCCGCTTGCCCACAGAAAACCCTATTTAATAGGCTTGGTTGATCGTGTTCATTAGTTTCTAAACTCGTTATGAATTCGTATTTAAATTAGCTTTCGATCCAATATCGAGCCATGCAGGAATAGTGTGAGGAGTAATTAAGAATCGAAACAATTTTTCCAATTTTCGTAATTATTTTCGTATGTATTATTATTATATTATATTATATTATATTATTATTGTATATTATTATATTATATTATTATTATATTATATTATATGTTACAATTGTATGTTATTATATTTTATTAATATAATTGTATATGTATATTAAAGCACCCCTGACAGATGGCCATCCATTCTTAATAATAATAATATAATATAATATTAAAACTATTATTATTATATATTATATTATATTATATTATATTATATTATTATATTATTATATTATATTATTATATTATTATATTATATTATATTATATGTTATAATTGTATGTTATTATATTATATTAATATAATTGTATATTAAAGCACCCCTGACAGATGGCCATCTATTCTTAATAATAATAATATAATATAATATTAAAACTATTATTATTATATATTATATTATATTATATTATTGTATATTATATTATTATAATTGTATATTATTATATTATATTATAATATTATATGTTATAATTGTATGTTATTATATTATATTAATATAATTGTATATTAAAGCACCCCTGACAGATGGCCATCTATTCTTAATAATAATAATATAATATAATATAGAATAATAATAATAAGAAGACGTTTAGCTGGGTTAAGACAAGCCGTTTTAAAGCATTTTAAAGACTGGATTCCTGTAAGTGCTGACTCCATTCTGACTTCGGATTGTTTTTCGATGGACATCTCATTCTGACTTAATCTTCTGCTTTTGGACGTGCTATGGGCTTGGGGCTTCCGTACAGTGGCCCTTATTTCTCATGCCAGTAAGGTAATGCTCAAGATCCTGCAAGGAAGACTCCAGCAATACATGGAGCGAGAGTTGCCAGATGTTCAAGCTGGGTTTAGAAAAGGCAGAGGAACGAGAGACCAGATTGCCAATATCCGCTGGATAATGGAGAAAGGCAGGGAGTTTCAGAAAAACATCTACTTCTGCTTCATTGACTATTCTAAAGCCTTTGATTGTGTGGATCATAATAAATTGTGGCAAGTTCTTAGTGGGATGGGCATCCCAAGCCACCTTGTCTCTCTCCTGAGGAATCTGTACAAGGACCAAGTAGCAACAGTCAGAACTGACCACGGAACAACAGACTGGTTCAAGATTGGGAAAGGCGTACGGCAAGGCTGCATCCTCTCACCCAACCTTTTTAACTTGTATGCAGAACACATCATGCGAGGATGTGCGGGGCTTGAGGAATGCAAAGCTGGGGTGAAAATGGCTGGAAGAAACATTAACAACCTCAGATATGCAGATGACACCACTCTGATGGCCGAAAGCGAGGAGGAGCTGAGGAGCCTTCTAATCAAGGTGAAAGAAGAAAGCGCAAAAGCCGGGTTGCAGCTAAACGTCAAAAAACCAAGATTATGGCAACAAGAATGATTGACAACTGGAAAATAGAGGGAGAAACCGTGGAGGCCGTGACAGACTTTGTATTTCTAGGTGCAAAGATTACTGCAGATGCAGACTGTGGCCAGGAAATCAGAAGACGCTTACTTCTTGGGA